CAGTCATAAACACAGGGAAAATTCACCTGTCTACAAGGCAAATCTTAAATACCTCTCTTACACGTCCTAGCTGATGAATTTGGGAAAACTGCTAGGACAGAGAGTTGGCGGGCAGTTTTCATTTTGTACCTGCACAGCACAAAACAGAGAAGAAAGGCCAGAGTAGGAACTACTTGAGTGAAATGATGAAGTTCTATACAACCAGTTATTTCAGGATCAGCTGGAGCCTTTTCTGCTCTTACCATGCTACTTATTTCTCTTCAAGAAGAAGCTCCTTAACTAGGAATAGTTAATGTTACTAACTGATAGTGTATATTTTCATTAAAATCAGCAATTCCCTACGCAAACAAAAATGGATAATGTTACAGCATTATGGATATAACCAACTTATGGATAATGTTTGTGACTTCAACCAGTATTTAAGAACTATGACGCTGATCCCAAGCTCTCACTCAAAACTTGAATTTAATACAAAAGTTTAAAATGCTACTGAATGTAGTAATTTTAGAGAGTTCCTATATCCATTATTTTCTCAACTAAACTCAGGAAATACACTTGCACACGAAGAAAGATATAAATTGTTGCAATTATTACTTCTAATTTCTAACAGAGACCAGAAGTGGGCTGTTTAACTTTAAAACACATTATGCATTCCCGTAAGATTACAAATTAAAAATAAATGACATAAATCAGGTGGGGAAGATAACAAGCTAATGGAAGAGCAGTCAGAGAAGGGAGACAGGGTAAACTCTGAAGTAATACAGTAATTTAGAATGATTAAATGCAAAACATGGCAGAGTAATTTCTTTATAGAAACTAAAGTTTCTCGTAGATGATACAGAAGTAAAAACACACGTGGAATCTGAACAACATAATACACAGGATGTTTATAAAATAGCTGTTGGTAATTTAGAGTAAAGTTTATCGCACTTACAATATTGTTTGTATAAAAACCCCAAAATGTACGTTTAATACTTTCAAAATTCCGCAAGCATATACGCAATTTAAAAATGGCATTTGAAAGTCACATGCATGAGCTCTGGTGTTCCTTTTCTATGAGAAGCTTAACATTAACTTCGCTGAGAGTGAAATATGACTTATGTGCAATGTAAATTATGCTCCTTGGCACCAAGCCATGACTATTTAGCTGATACAGCAGGTTGTGACTGATACAGTGAAGCGACGTTATCACCTTTTTCCTTCCTCTACTTTGAGCAGCTGAACAGAAAAGACATTCCTGATTTCTTGGGAAAGGATTAGTAAGTAGGCATCCCTACACAGCCTGTCTTTTGCCTGAAGCTGGTACACAGGTAGAGGGAAGATAACCTTTCTTCACTACAAAGGGTCTTCTATGACCATAAACATTTTTCAAAAGCTCTTCTCACTGTACCTCACAGCCAAAACAGTCATAGGTGAAACAACACTATCAGTGGGACGAGACAACCTTCCATTGCAGGTGTCCTCTGAGACAGTACCTCATAGAAATACATTTGTCTGGACAAAGCCAAGATGTGTTTGACATGGGTGGAAGGAGACACTGACAGCAGGGAGCCAGGGAATAAAATGCCTCCTATTCCTTGGGTTACGAAAATTATTCTTTAATAATCCTCTTCTGTTGGAAGAAATATTTTTCTCAGAATGCCTGTCTTGTAGGGCCTATTGAAAATAAGCAGCTCTCCATAATATAACGTTCTGCATATTTTAGAGCTGGATTTGAAGTGATAAGAAACATTTATAATAGTGCTTAAGCTATTAATGGAGCAAACACTGTTGCCTACTACTACTATCTGGTTGCTCTGCTTGTCTCTTCTTACTTTCTTGCACTGTTGCCTTCATACCACAGCACAGCACACCAAACCACCATATTTAAATGATGCTTTTCAGCAAGTTTCCTTCTCTAAAGTTAAGAGAAAACCCAAAACCAAACTATAAGTAAAAATGTAGACCATATCATTATGTTCTTAATGCCATCTCCTTTCATAGGAATAAAATCCCTCACTTAAAGGCAACAATCTGAAACATGAAACAACGGCAGTTCTACAGAGCTCAAGCATATTAACATAATGATATGTTTAGAACAAAGTGAAAGAAAATATTGTATTTAATTGAAATTGCTAGAGTAATGCAATTATTTATAATGAATGAATGGAATTTGTATTTCTCAGGGTTGAGACTTGGGACATTCTTCCTTCTTTCTGGTAACTTCAATTTTTCAATAAGAAAAGTTGAACAGGACATGAACTGGTCAAAGGACAATTCCAGAAACAGCACTGGTTACCTTCTTTGGGGACAATGGGTCAGAACTGACTCAAAGGAATATTTTCCATTATATGAATAACTTAATTACATGGTTCCAAGCACTGCAGATTCCTTACAGTTTGTCCACTACTTAGTCTAGTATACTTGTTTAGATTAGGTTCTGACATAACATATACTCATAAAGTACTGGCTTAAGGCCTTCATTAGAAATGGACCAAAATTTTACTACAGTAAGTCAGCTTTATGAAATGTCTTTGATTAAATGCCAACAAAGAACGATACAGCATTTTGGCCCCATATTTTGATTAAAATAAATTGAAGTCATTTAGGACTATAGCTGAACTTAATGGTAGCATAAAGAAATTATTGTACATGAAAGGTACCAATTATCAGTCAAACTTTGATAGTCTACAAAGTTATTTATGTGGCAACAAATTCCCATTAGAACCACCGTGTTGATGCTGGCAGATGCTTTTCAACAATGACTTGTATGTTAGTTTCTGTGGGGCACTGTAGATATGCTGGAAGAATGAAGAGCTTAAATCTACTTCACATAGGAGTTTTACCTACCAGAAGAAGTCACAGAAAACTATTTGTATCTGGGTCTCCCTGGCAGGTATGAGAGACCTAGAGGGTATATTGGCTATGATGAAATATAGCAGGACCACCCTTAGCCAATAAAAGTTGCTGCACTGGGAAATTGCAGCTCCAAAAGCAGCAGTATGAAAATTAATTCTCCACTATTTATAAAAAAAAAAAAAACAAACAAAATTATCTCATTGGTGAGAAGTGGATACATTGGCGTCATTCTTAAATATTATTGGTGTTCGATTAAATGTATCCTCCCTAATCATGTTAGCACTTCTTAACATTCAAGAGGATTAATTTTTTCCCACTGAGGCTTGTGAAGCATTATCTATAGCAGATCGTATTAGAAGGGACAGGAGTGAATTTCATGCATCGGATTTGAAGTAATTTACAAAACTCATTAAAATTCCAAAGATGCAAAATGAGTATTCTGTGATGGGTGAATCTGGAGAACTGATTCCCACCCCCCATGGGAATACTTTAAGCACAGAGGAAATTCTGCAGTCAGAAACAGAAAAGCTCCACACCTTACATGAAAAATCTGCTTAGTAAATTGAAATATATCATTGTTGTGTGTTTTTCAACTGAAGCTGGTTAAATACAATCTAAGTGGGTATGGGAAAGCAGAAGAGACTGCTACATTTTATTTTAGCGGATGTTAGTTGTGCATGGGAATCAAAGCTGGCATAGTAACTTTAAATAACTGTGGTGATAGCAATGCAAAATTAAGACAATAATGGGACATAAAAATGCAGTTTTTCTCTTCTCCAGGACAACTTAGATAATTCTTTTTCCCACAATTTATACTTAAATACCTTCTTTACTGTGTAACTAATAAATGTTGCTAATGGATTAGCAAAGTTTGAATGAGAAATACTATCTTTCATTAGACCAGAACAGATGCTGCTTGCGGCTCACTGTCTCTTCAGAAGAACTTGCCACAGAAAGCCACCTCTATTTTCTCTGCCAGCATCTCTTGATTAAATAGAAGATACCACCTACCCCTACAGATCCTGCTTCTATTCAAAGACCATCACAGCTATTACAAACTAGTCAATTTATTTCAGGGGTATCCAAGTACCTGATAAACCTTTAATCCCGTATCAGTGATTACAGAACCCAAGAGGTAAATACAATGCTGACTCCGGGTTCGTTGAAGTTACCAGGCTCTGCTGGGAAAAGGAATGTGTCAGGCCTATAGAGGCGAATGTAGATACTGAGTGAGGCATGCAGCACAAGATGAATCACATAAATATATGGAGTCAGGTACTAAGACAGATATCAGCTCTCCTGTTAATCCAGAGATCACCTAGGCCCTGTAACAGGCATATTTATCTCCAGAGGCATGATTTTCTTTCTGAATTGCTAGACATGCTTCTGTTGGGTTCCTGTAATTTAGCTGCTAAGCTGCTCTCTCCAATTTTTGGATCAAAATTCAGCCTTGAGTTGAAAGTGGAAATGAGCTTAAACACCACAAAGGAAGAAAACCAGAGCTGAAATGCTCAGGATAGGCTCAAGATAGTGTTCACTGACCCGCAAATCCACTTTGAACTATACAGGCCTTACAGTAGTTCGTATGTATACTGGATAGAGTTTGGTATAGACATATGAAAGTGAAGAACTTATTGAAAGAATTGGCATTATAGTTCAAAATCAGGGTCAAACCCACAAAATACTGTCACTGCAGGGATTTAAAAGGGCAAGACATCACCAGGGCTGGGAGAAAGGAAGATTATTTCAGTAGTTGAATTACAACTAGATTGACAGTTTCTGTAGAGACTTCATCAGAAAAGCTGTTATTAAAACCTATCAGTATTCCAGAACTCCTGGAAATACACTCTTGGACTGCTGAAATCACTGTGTGTGTGCATAAGCATAGGTGTATTGCATCTAGTACACTGCGTCCAAGTCTTTGATTTCCTTGAGTGTATAGATGCATGGCATTCCATAGAGATAAAAGAAGAAATTCTCTAATAAATATTAAATGTCCATGGTTAAAAAAATTAACGACTCTTTCTACCAGTCGAAGAGTGGATTTCTGCTGCCTGTTTTCACCACTTACAGAATGGCTCCCCAACATTTTGGTGTGGCACATCAGTAAGATCTATGTCAACATTCAAGCCCTTGTTCAGAGCTTCAGACCACAAACTCACCTGCTCCTGGGTCATCTTCTGCAGCTCTTTCTCCCAAGCTGCCCGGTCATCATCCAGGTGGTAGGAAGCAGGTGGGGTGAGACCACGTAGAATCAGGGGGTCACGGTCATGGCAGAGGGCTGTCAGATGTCCAATGTACAACTTCAACTTGCTGCGATTCTGATCAAGTTCTAAGAGGGGCTGAATTATCTGAAATAAGAGAATAGAGATAATGAGGAACAGCCTGAGACCCAAGCAGTAGTCAAGGCAAAGATCAACCTCTAAGTTACAGCCTTGTTCAGCTTCATGCTGGAAGAAACCTGCACACCCTCTCTCCTCTCTCCCCCCAAGTACTTCTATCCCATAACCCAGCAACCATCCAGCTGAAGCAGAAAGAAACCAACTGCACTAAGTGAAGGGGACATGGTGATGATAGCTGCCTGACTAACATAGGAAATAATGATGATATAGGTGAAAAATGAGTGTTAAATTGAATGCATTAACTCTACTGATTGTCCAGCAATGCTTCAGTCAACTATTTCAACTCCCTGCTTTCAGAAAATTATTTTTTTTCTGATAAAAGGTGTCTGTCCACAGCTAAGGCAACAGCAATGTAGATTTTAACTCATTTTGCCAACAAACATTTAATTGTAACTGAAGTATGCAATAAACACATTCTAAAGAGAATAGTTTCAGATGCCAAGATGTTCGTTTTTAAGATGAGTGTATCTCTGCTGTAAAAACTGGATAGAGACATATCTTCACCAGAAACTTAAGACAGAATCTTCTGTATTTTCTATAGTTACGAGATAGTCTTCTACAGTTTTGAAAAAGGCAATGACTTTCATTTATTATGCAAGTCAGATTCTATATAACAGACTAAAAAAATAAAATCAAAGGACTTTAATACATACTGTATTATTTTATTATACTTAACCTAAACTGAATCTAAACCTTGTTCCCCAATGAAATCCAAACTGGAGCCATCGAATTCCCATTCAAAGTATCTGAAGAGCCATTTTCCATTTGCTGTACAAAAATACAGAGCTGAAGTGCATAAACACATACTGGGAATCCCTCACAATGCCTTCCCCACAAGAATACTCCTTTATATTGTTCTATGTGCTTGTGAGCATATATTCAAAACTGCAATAATACAAAACTCTAAGGTTTGCAGCTAATGAAAAATTATGGGAGAACTGGGCTTAGTGCCTCCATTCCATAACATGATGTGCTGAAGCTACAGGCTCTGATGTGCACCAGCTAGGAGAGCTGGAAAGCCTTACTGCAATACTTGTTCCCAGGCAGGGACTGCACCTGCTGTTTGTTAGTGGGCTGTGGATATCTTTTCAATAGGGCACCTCTGACCTTGCTAATGAATAAGGAGTGAGATAATCTCTGAGTCAACAGAAACAGGGTGCTGGCACTACTTTCAACAAAGACTCTGGCTTTGACCCCTTTTAATAAGGCTGTCAAGGCTGACTTATTCTGATTCTAACACTGTTCTACATGGATTAATTTCTGTAGAGTGAGAGTATCTGAGAGCCATGGCTAAGCAGCTAACTAATGTCAGGCTCCTTGTCCTGCAGAGCATAGCTGCACTCAGCAGCCTACATCAGAACATCAGGTTGGCAGCAGTTACGAAAAGCCACAGCCACAGTGACAAGACAGCTGTAGAGTGAGCTCATGTGCTTTATTGTAACAAGGAGCGAGTGAGCTCACGTGCTTTATTATAACCCTACAGCTATGCGCAGCCTTGAGGCAACACCTGTTTGCAGACAGAAACATATATAAAAATAATGGTTTGATGTATCAAGACTGCAAACTGCAGCAGGGCAGAATACTCCACTCTCCTGTACACAGAGCAACAGGAAGGGACATTTATATCTCACTTCCATCATCAAGGACAACTGTATTTAGCCAATTGCATCCCTCAGCTTTGGTTGTTTGCTGAACTTGCAATATTTACCCCAGTTACTTACTACTCAGTTTGCCCACAGAGGGTAGAGTGATGGAATATCACATCTTAAAAAAATACTATTTTATAAAAGTGTGTTAATTAAGTAGTCAAGTCCAATAACTCCCTGTCCAATCAATGTAGTAGCTGCCTTGTATTCTTTTCAGGTACCTCAGTCTATTAAATATCACTCAGATGTGCAGATTTCAGTCTGAAAAGAATCTGACTTGCCAACTTCCTGGCTATTTGTGAACAGAAACCCTCCTTGATAGAGAAAGCAAAGCTATCTAGCAAGTAATGATGGAAGATATTCATACAACAGCACATTCCTTCTCTACCCTTCCCCCTTACCTCAGGCTGGAAACATGCCAAATGAGGCGTGTGAAAGTTCTTAACTAGCAGCCCTCCCAAAGCTGTTCGCAGAGCAATCATTCCTCTCACTTGGGATCCATTAAACCCTGACAATCAAGTAGGAAATGCCCTTATATCTGCGTTCCTGCCATATCTAATTTGAACTAGCCACTTAGCAAGAGGCACTGTGCTTCCCATACAGCAGAGCTGCCACTGCCTTATCTCAAGAGGGTGTAAGAGCATTTGCTAAGTGGAAAGGCAGGGCAGTGCTGGATTCATAAACCACATCGTGTTCTCATGATCAGCGCAGAGCTGTGGAGCTTTCTAGGAAAACAATGGGTATACAGACCAAACCCAGGAATAGCTTTCTAAAGCAGCTCTGATTCATTAATTGCCCCGATAGGTCTAGGCCATCCTCATCAATGCATGGAATGAAGTCTGCTTAATGTACCCTCAAGTTCAGAATATTGTTAATGGCCAGCTAAGTCTGACAATGTGTTTTCCTAAAAAAAGCAATCACTACAGCTCTGAAGCAGAAACATGAAAAGCTTGACGAATCTCTGATATAAATCCAAACCATCTCTACCAACTGATAAAGAACATATTCTAAAACAAATTCAACTTGAAAACAGCATGTTCAGTTTTCTTGAGATTTCACGGATTTTTTTTTTGTTTTTTAAACTCTGAGCATGACAGATGTGAATCTAAGTGTAGTTGCACAAGTCACTGAGGCAAAAAAATGCTTTAGAACAGAACTAATCCTGCTTCTTCAGTGGTAGTTCTGCTGTTGCTGTACAATGGTCAGCTGAAATACGAGTATATGCATTTAAAAGTTTTTTATTATAGGAGTCTGCATTGAAATATGCATATATATGCTGCATGGCTAAGAAAAGGTATCTGTAACTGAATGTGGTTGGAGAGACCTATCTAAATGTTTGGTCAGTTTTACTGTGAAAGATGAATACACCTACCACACAAAGACTGGTGTCTAAAAGTTTGTCTAAGCAGTGCCTAATGTATATATGCATAAACAGGTAGGTGGCTATATGAAAAAGAAAACCAGTGAATGGATGGTATAAATGCAGCAGCGTCGATCCAAGATAAATGTGATATCGACTATCCATAGACGTCTGTGGCATAAAGTAGGGTTTTAATTGATGTGTAACATGACTCATTCACAACAACTACCAGCTTTAAATTATGGGTTCTGCAGGCAGAAGGGCTAATGACCTGGTCATCTTTCTCCCTGCGTACATTTCCTTCTCTGAAGGAAGCAAGCACTTTTCTTTTGTGGAACCAAGTAATTAATTTTAGTAATTTCAGAGAATACCTCTTAAATGTCTACTTAGCAATAAACTTGCAGCTCCCATGTTGAAGAAAGTCTTACAAGCACCCCTAAAAGCTTGTCTGTTTTTCCAGCTGCACCAGTTGGTCTTGTAAAAGTTATCTCCTTACACAACTTGCCTCACATAGCAGAACCATGCATCAACATGCACGTTGATCATGGATCAACAGCAGCAATCCTTTTCTTACAGATACATACCAGCAAGCAAAAAAAAATAATAACTAGAAAATGACATACAAAGAGCCTTATGTATACTTGGCACTAGCATGACTGCTGTCATGTTCCCCTTTTAGGCTTGACCATCTTGCTTGCACATATGCCACGTGTATATATTCGTTACAGAACACTAAAAGGCAGAGTAATGCATATAAGTGCTCTTCATTTTGTAATCAAATAATTTAGTATTTTTTTCTCAACTTAACCATAAACCTTTAAAAATTTGAGGAAAATCCCTGGAAGAACAGCTGTATCAAGACGAAAATAAAATAGAATTGCAGAGTAATCTTGGGGTCAAAGTAAATAATATGGGGTCAAAATTTCACTGGTTTTGTATCAAAAGTGTTAGAAAGAACTGTAGATTGAATGAATCAGAAAGTTTCCAAGGAATTAACTAACTGATGAATGCTCTAGCTTGGTAGCCTGATCTACGGGCCTTGAGTTTTTGTTGTAGATTCTGCAAAGGCAAAAAACTAAGGAATTCTGAAAAAAAAACCCTACAAACCAAACCCCAAAATACCCCCAACGACCCCCTCAAAACTTCAGCCTGTATATAACAAATATGCTTGGCAAATCAGTTAAAAGGAGGTTGCCCTTTATCTCTTATCAATCATATTTTTCATGTGAGCATGGGAAATCATTTAAACTTTTTTACATACAGATGCAACTATGGTACCCAGCAAAACTTACTTCCCAAACTACCATTAAACAGGAGAAGATGGGCTCAAAGTCTGGGTAAATACATATGTTTGTTAAAAAGAAATTATTCCAAGGAGGACCTGACAAATCTAACAAAAGATGGAGTGGATCACAGTGGGTCCTGGGATGTTTCCCTGTATCTGGGTTTTGTTATGGATATTACCAGACAAGAAAATTTTGCCTATATAGCAAAATATCTTATATGGGAGATATGGAAATAAACTAAGATACCAAATGATATAGTCTGGAAGTATCTGCATGGCAAATTGAATTACGCCTTCTTACTCAGACCATTTGTGTTTGGCAACAAACTCAAGGGTTCAACTACAATCATCTTGTAGCTATTGAATGCAATGGAGTTTTATGAGGCATGAATTTGGCTCAGAAAATGCAAAGCTTTCCCAAATTCAGAACAATTTATCACTGATGTCTTCCCTTCATTATTTTAAATGGAAACAGAAGAAAGTGCTCAAAAAGACACAGCCTGACCTCAGTTCAGTTCAGCTCAGTTCACTGCTGTACAGAGATACTCGGTTTCTCCCGAAGATCACAACACAAAAGCTCAGGGACAGGCTCAGTTTTCTTTAGATTTGTTTTAAAGCAAAAAAATGGATTTCAACCTAACCTTCATAATTTTCTCCT